TTGCTGACCTCCTCCTGTTCCATCGTTGCAGGTCCGGTGTCACCGGCGTAGAGGTTGAGGCAGTCAGAACAGCGCGCAAGCGAAGAAGTCCATCAGAGGCTGGTCGTTCAAGGTCCGTCTCCTTTGGATGCGACCAGGTCGGCTGTTCCGTGGGAGTCGTTTTCAGCAGCAAGGTGCGGTCGGAGTCTCGAGTGGTGCCTTGAGCCAAGAAATTCAGCACGAAGACTCCGTCGTCGTCGACAACTTTTCCGATGGAAGTGTTTTTGTAAAATAATTCGAAGGCCTTGTCTTTGCAGTTGCTGCGAATGTCGACTCCGCACCGCATGAGTTGCGCCGAAGAGAGTAGGTTGTACTGCAGATCTGGAGCAACCAGCACGTCTCCAATGTGAATGGTGAACTTTGTGTCTTCGGCCTCAAGGTAAATTTCACCGATGTCGTATGCCTTGAGTCGGTCGTTGTTGGCGACGGTGATTTCACACGGTCGCCTCATCCGCCTTGAGTTACTGATGAGCATTGGTGATCCCACCATGTGCTGTCCGCAGCAACTATCAAGATACCAGGTGTTGACGCTCTCGCGGTTCTGCCGCGCGATGCCGACAATCTTTGGAGTGACTATGCGGTCGAAGTCGCCCGTGTATGGTGAGAGGTCAATGCATTTTCTGGTAGGGAGGCTGGGAAATGACTCCAGAGTGATTGGAGGTAGCTCGAAATCAGGTGGGATATTGGTGGGTTTGTCGATCCAGAGACTGAGCGTAGGGTCATTGTTCGGGTTTGGCGTAACGGGGGCGATGGGTGCGATTCGTGGGTACTCGATGTTCTCATAGTACCGGATATCTCTGCGACGCCGAGCCATGCAGCTCAAGATTGAACCCTTGCTTTTGTCTTTGGATGAGATGCGTGCAGAAGAGCTTGCGAGGTGCTTGCGACGGAAGGTGGTGACACGGTCGTCGTTGCAGCTGGAGTTGTCGGGGGCCCTGAGGGCTGCTGACCAGATGAGTTATTGTTGCGTCTTTCATCGGCAGCCTTTCGTTTGTAGCACCGATCTATGGTGTGGCCGGGCTTCTTGCAGTATTTGCAGAAGGTTCCCTTCTTTTCATGCTGCTCCTCTTCAATTGACCCCGCGAAGAACGCTAATTTCTCCCGCTTGTTGTTCTTCTCATTGTACAAATCCATTTCCTTCTGCTCGGAGAGAAGGGTGGCACGGAGGGCGGACTCGGAAATGGTTGCTCTAGCGCGGAGCAACGACTGGCATTGGCGCCAATCGGGTCCAAGGCCGGAAAGAATCATCGAGACGAGCATGTCGCCAGGGACGGTTCCGCCACACTTCTTAATATGATCGCATAGATTGCGACACCGGTTGATATACGGTCCCGCTTTCTCCCCTTGCTGCATTTTGATAGATGTCAATTGACTGAGCAGTCGCCTCATGGTAACCGGATCTGTTGCCATGTATGAATTGCGCAGGTGTTCCCAGGACAGCTGCGCAGGAGCACACTCCGTTTTAAAGGAGCGGATGCCGAGCTGCTCAGAGGGGGAGAGATTTCGAAGAAGTGCGGTGTAAGCGAGAAGAGATTTGTGGTAGGGTACTGGTGCTTCTCCGGATGGTGCCTTCCGATGGGAAGGGGAAACTCCCGTGGTATACATCTAGATCTGGGCAGTTGTTGCGAGAAGTTCAAATTCGAAGCTCCACGTGTAGAAATCCTTGCCGTCAAATGAATGGAGTTGAAGTCTTCAGCTTTGAAATCAGAACAAACTTGGTTTGCATGGTTGCAATTGCTTTTGGCTGTGTGCGATGTTGATTGTCTTGTGCAGGAGCTGAAGCTTGACGGTTGTCAAAGGTAAATGTGTCAGAATAGCAGGCACAAACTAGAAACAGGAAAGAGGGGTTTCACTAGCAGGCAGTTGAGTACATATAGCAAACCCTAATTCGGGCTGTACTCGCTATAGAGTACCCCACTGCAGGCTAGACAAACATCACATTCTGACACACCCCCATAGTCAAAGTGGGGTACAATCAACACAGCAAGCAGGCAGAGCAGTAGTTCACAATGATAAGCAAAGCTAGAGACTATCACAGAGAGTAAGTGAGGAGGAGGAGAAACTGCGGGGGTGAGAAGATGGGAGGCGACGGCTGAAGCTACAGACACACGGGCAACAGGAGTGCGCAGCACTGTCGCAACCAGACTAAACCCGCACTAATCAGGCGACAGGCGCAGCTGGCTCTCTGTGCTCCCAGGAGTGCTCACACTGTAGCTACCAGGCTATACCCGGACTACTCAGGCCACAGACGCAGCTGGCTCTCTGGACTACGAGAAGTGCTCACACTGTGGCTACCAGGCGCAGAGCCCCGGACTACTCAGGCCACAGACGCAGCTGGCTCTCTGGACTACAGGCGCTGCGGACGACAAGACGGCTGCCTCCACTCAACCTCCCCCAGCTGTCCCACACCCCTTTCACACACTCCCTGTTGAACCTCTAGCACCGCTCACACGCCACCCCCCTCGTACCACTCCGACGGCTCCAACACATCCACCCCCCTCAGCGGTAGCTGCAGCAGTGGGAGACGGAGGAGGAGGAGCAGGGGACGGCTCACACACACAACACCCCCATACTCTCCACCCCCATACTCTCCACCCCCAAACCCTAACACAGGAGCGCGGGCAGCAGCGGGGGTGGGGCGCGGTCAGAAGCTCGGGGGACGGCGTGCGGCACTGGGGCAGACTGTACGGGCCGCGCACGGGCCTGGCGCAGGCCGGACGAACCGCGCGCGGGCTGCCTGGGCCGCGCGCGGGCCTAGCGCAGGCCGTACGGGCCGCGCGCGGGCTGTACGGGCCGCGCGCAGGCCTGGCGCAGCCCGTACGGGCTGTTAGAATCTAGTAGCAAGAATGATGAACTAACAGCATGCAGGAGTACAAGTAGTAAACCCTAATTGGGTTGTACCCCATATGGGCTACCCCACTGCAGCCTAGACAATATGCAGCATATATGTTTGACACACCCCCATAGGCAAAGTGGGGGAGAACAAGGGGTCACACGACCAGTCAAGAGACGCAAAGCAAGCTCAGGGTGGATCTCAACGTCACCACACATTCTGAGCACAAGCAAAGGGCCGCAAGGCCAGTCCACATGCAGAGATATATATAAGCAACAAGAGCAGTACAGTGATCAATACCTAGCAAGAGCAAGCATGCAGGTATAAATATAGAGCACAGTATACACAAAAGACTACAGAAAGTGTGGAAACGTAGGCACAAGGCCTAACAAAGTACAAAAGCGCTGATGATCACCAGACGGAAGTGCCTTGGTGAATATATCAGCAGTGTTGGCCCGAGTCCCGTGGCCGTGTAGTCCGGGGCTCTGCGCCCGGTAGCCACAGTGTGAGCTCCCCTGGGAGCACAGCGAGCCAGCTGCGACCCCCTGTCGCCGTGTAGTCCGGGTTTAGCCTGGTAGCGACAGTGCGGCGCACTCCTGCTGCCCGTGTGTCTGCAGCTTCAGCCGTCGCCTCTCATCTTCTTGCTCCCACAGTTTCTCCTCCTCCTCACTTGCCCTCTGTGATAGCCTCTAGCTTTGCTTGTATTTGTGAACCTACTGCTCTGCCTGCTTGTTGTGTTGATTGTACCCCACTTTGACTATGGGGGTGTGTCAGAATGTAATGGTTGTCTAGCCTGCAGTGGGGTACTCTATAGCGAGTACATCCCTTCTAAGGTTTGCTATATGTATCCTTATGCTTGTTAGTCAAAATCCTCTTTGCCTATTTCTCGTTTTCGCCTAGCCTGTTTAACAGAGCCGTCAATGCTTATAGCTTGATGGCTCTCAAGTGCGTTGATGCGAGTGACTAGCTGCTCAATCAGAGGGCGTTGACGGAAGTCACCGCTGAGGGCGCATTAGGTGTTGCTGGTGGTGGGCCCGGAGAGTCTGCAGTGGCTTTTCCTTCGGGGGCCATAGTGTAGCAGACTTGTAAAGAGTTGTCTTTAAAGCCAGCAGCTAAAATAATGACCCCCCCCTTCTAGTTGGGCCCAACTTGAAGTCTCTAGTCTTTGTAATATTTTGGGAAGTTGGAAGTGTGGTGAGAATTTTTTTTCCCACCTCCGAACGAGTTGCGAACTGAACCAGGAACAAGAGCAGTTCTTCCTCATATCTGATTGGCAGCTAGTTTCGCCCAAATGTACATGTGCAATTTTGGCGCAAGGATGAGCAACGTGCAATGTTGATCTCACAGGCGCTGCAACTTCACCAAAACCACATCTATCAACACTACAGGCAAAGTTCCAAGCAGAAACATCTACGAGATGAAAGTGGAAGAGCGTAGACATGGTGAGAAGCTGATGAAATTGTGCCGCCTTGGACTTGGGGCCTGACGGAGGGGCAACAAGGAGGGACTGTGGGAAAGGCAGACTGACGTGGTATCTTCTTGGGTGCCAGGTTGCCGGTCCTGCCTTTCCATATTGCTAGGATTTTTTATTGTCGTCGACGACGTGGTTCTCGAGCTCGTAGTAGAATTCCCTCGTAGGGTAGATGTTGCAAATGTTTCAGATGCATCTGTAGAGGAGGTTTGAGGTCGTCGCAGCTTCTTGTTGACCTCTAGCTCCCTCTTGAGCTGCTTCAGCGCCACCGACTTCTTCCGTGGGGACCGGTTGGTCGATGTGGGCTGTGTTAGAATCACTAGGCAAGAATAGATGAACTAGCAGAAGTTTGGGTACAAATATGAAACCCTAGTTGGGGTTGTACCCCATATTGGCTACCCCACTACAGCCTACAAGCATAATACAGTTTAACACACCCCCATAGGCAAAGTGGGGGAGAACAAAGGGTCACAAGACCAGTCCAGCAAAGCAAAGCAAAGCCCAGGGTGGATCACAACGTCACCACACTCCGAGCACAAGTAAAGGCCACAAGGCCAGTTCACATGCAGTGCTAGATATAGTACAAGGCAAGCAACACAGTGATCAAAACCTAGCAAGCAAGCAACAAGATATATATAAAGTACAGTACAAAGAATGTCAAGCAGTGAGCAAGTGAGGAAACGTGGACACAAGGCCTAAAGAAGTACAGTGCCGCTGATGATCACTAGGCGGGAGCGCCTTGGTGAAGATATCAGCAGTGTTGGCCTTCGAGTCCACGTACACAAGCCGAAGCTGACCGCGCTGCTGAAGCTCTCGAGCAAGAAAGTAGCGAAGAGCAATGTGCTTCGTCCTGTGCTCCAGTCTGTGCTCCTGACACAAGGCAAGAGCCGCCTTGTTGTCACCGTACAGAACTGGAGGAGAACTAGGCCGCTCTCCCAAGTCAGTCAGCAGGTAGGTGAGCCAGCGTAACTCCTGTGCAGCCATGGCTGTGGCGTAGATCTCAGCCTCACAACTAGAGCCGAGAACAGAGGAAGAGCGGGTGGACCGCCACGAGACAGAACCAGAGCCAAGGCTGAAGGTGTAACCCTGTGACGACCGCTGCGTAGCCAGGTCGTCCACCCAAGAAGCGTCCGAGTGACCAGTGAGGACAACTCTGTCGCGTCCTCCAAGCACCAGCCCCATGCCTGATGTACTGCACAAGTAACGCAGCACCCTCTTAGCAGCCTCCCAGTGCTCTCGCCTGTGTCTCCCAGGCGCAACGTAACGAGCAAGGATGCTAAGAGGGTACGCGAGGTCAGGGCGCGTGCAAGTCATCAGGTACATGAGGCAGCCTACAAGCTCTGGGTACGGGCCACTCGGCTCTACGGACTCGTCCGAAGGTGGAGCTGAGAGCGAGTGGCTGGTAGCCAGAGGTGTGGCCTGTGGTGAGGAGAACTGGAAGCCGAAGCGCTGAAGGACCTGCTGCACCATGTGTGACTGAGTCAGGGTGATGGTGCGGCGAGCTCTGTCCCGGGTGATCTGCAAGCCAAGGTAGCTACGCAGTTCACCCAGGTCAGTGCAGGTGTGTCTCTTCTGCAGCTCCGACTTCACACGAGCGAGTGCCTCAGTGTCAGCAGTAGCAAAGACTAAGTCGTCGACGTACACGAGAATGTAGAACGGCGGCAGCGACGTGTCTGTGCGCAGAAACAGCGACGGGTCAGCAGTAGACGGCGCGAACCCAAGAGCCGCAAGTGTAGTCCTCAGTGTGTCGTGCCACTCACGTGGCGCCTGGCGGAGACCGTAGACTGGCCGGCGGAGACTCCACTGGGTACCAGGGGGAAACGACCCAGTAAAGCCAGGTGGGCGGCGCAGCCAGATCTCCTCGTGCAGGCTGCCCTGCAGGAACGCTGTGCTGAAGTCAAGAGAGTGAAGCTCGTAGTCACGCTGAGCAGCAACGTGCAGCAGAACCCGAAGAGTGGTCATCTTCGGGGTGGGGAGAAGGTCTGGAAGAAGTCGACCCCCTGACGCTGACTGAAGCCTCTAGCAACGTAACGAGCCTTGAAGACAGGCGGAGAACCTGGCGGCCGCTTCACCCTGAAAATCCACATGCCATCGACGATGTTCACCCCAGGAGGGGGAACCTCGTCGACGTAGGTGCCTGTGGACTTCCAGGATGCCATCTCTGCGTCCATGGCTGTCTGCCACTGAGAGGAGTAGGGACCCGAGATCGCCTCTGCGTAAGTGCGCGGAGTGGGGATGTCTAGTGCATCCGGGTCTCCCTCAGGGGCAAGCAACCAGGCCACGAGATGAGGTACAGCAGCCGCAAGAGAGTCAAAGTCCTCCTGCCTGTCCTCAAGGACGTCCGTGCCAAGAGCACACTCACCCCCGACGGACGGAGGACAGACAGACGCAGACGCAGGCTCAGCAACAAGGCTAGCAGCGTAGTCTAGACGACAGGCAGCAGCAAAGGCAACCAACTCAGCGACCAGAGCAGACGCAGCCGAGGACTCAAAGGTAGGGTCAGTGACAACAGTAGCTAGGAGACGCGTGACTGTAGGGTGCTCAGCGCGATACCGGTCAGACTCAGGGTCCGGAATGGCAGGCAAAGAGGACGCAGGAGGAGACGGTAGAGGGACACGCCGAGGAGCAGTAGAGGGACGCAGAGTCATGTAGTGAGTGCCTGGGACAGGAGGAGGACGCTCACGACGGACACGACTACCAGTGCGAGCAAGACGAACAGGCGACGCAGGACGAGACTCAGGCTCACGACGCTCTGTAAGACCTCCTGTGGGACCAGTGTAAGGAGAGGGAGCAGGGAGAGGCGAGGCAGGCGGTAACTGTGACTGCGGCTGGACAGGCGGAGGACACTCTACGGAGGGAGGAGGACAAGGAGGAGGAGCCTGCCCAAGAACCTGCTGAAGGAGCGGAACGAAGTACGGTCGCGGCCGCGCAGCGGCTCCAGAAGCAGAAGAGACTCCAGCGGCCGGGTCCTCAGTACCAGCAGGAGCTCCAACGTCCGGGTCCCCAGCACCAGCAGCAGCGCCACCGCTCGGGTCCTCAGCTCCAGCAGCAGCTCCACCAGGCGGGTCCGCAGCACCAGCAGCAGCGCCACCCCCAGAGTCGGCAGCTCCAACTCCGCTAGCACCGCCAGCGCCAGAGTCCCCAGCTCCAGCAGCTCCAGTCGCAGTGCTCCCAGAACAACCAGTCCCGGTAGCTCCAGTACCCCCAACTCCAGCCGAGCCACTAGGACGGCGAAAGCGCCGGACGTACCAGTCACGAAGCTGCTGCGGTGTGAGAGACTGCTCAGCACCCCGAACCGGAGCACCCCCAGACGCAGTAACCCGAGGCTCCGTAGGCTCAGTAGCAGCACCCCCAGGCTCAGTACCCGTAGGCTCAGCACCCCCAGACTCAGCACCCCCAGACTCCGCACACGCAGGCTCAGCACCCTCAGTCGCAGCACCCCCAGGCTCAGCACCCCCAGGCGGCAAACTCTCAGGCACAGTACCCTCAGCTCCAGCACCCGCAGTCCCAGCACTCCCAGGCCCAGCACCCGCAGGCTCAGCACCCCCAGGCTCAGCACTCCCAGCAGTACCACCTGCAGCAGCACCTGAGTCACCTGTGACCTCGACAGGCTCAGCGACGGGAGGAGGGTCTACCTGAGAGACACCTGAAGGAGCAGGACCCTGAGGGGGAAGGGGGTCTACCGGAGGGGGACCAGGAGCAAGGAAAAGCGGCGGGGGAGGGAGGGGGGCAGTGCGGTAGGGGAAGAGACGGTAAAAAGGGACCGACTCGTCAAAGGTGACATCCTGAGAGGCGAAGACCCGGCGCGAGGTGGGGTGGTAAAACTGCCAGCCAGGCGCGTCAGGGACAAAGCCAAGGAAGACACAGGGAAGCGTGCGGGAGGAGAGCTTGTCCGCGGACGTATCGCGGACAAGGGCACGAGCACCCCACACCCGGAAGCGCGACGCATCGCCAACCTCCCCCGTCCAACGCAGTGTGGGCGAGGTCTCCGGCAAGGAGACATGGGGCCAGAGGTTGAGCTGATGCGCGGCGTACCGGACAGCAAACGGCCACAGAAAATGGGGAGCCGCCGCGTGGACCAAGGAGGTACGAGCGACCTCCATGACCAGGCCAATGCGGCGCTCAGCAACCCCATTCTGCTGCGGGGAGTCCGGAAGCGTGAAGGTCTGCTCGATGCCCTCCGCCTGACAGAAGGTCCTCAAGAGATCGGAGGAAAACTCACCACCTCTGTCAGAGTGCAGACGCAGGACAGGAAGATCCGTCCGGAAACGGCGGCGGAGCTGGAGACGAACTGTGCGGATCCAAGGGATCAGAACAGCAGGGACCTCACCCTTGGTGCGCAAGGGGAAGACCGTGGTGTAACGCGAGTAGTCGTCGACAACCAGCAAAAAGTACCGCTCACCGCCCTGGCCACGAACGCGGGCTGGGCCCCACACGTCCAGGTGGAGGGTCTGCAGAGGAGCCTCTGTCGGGGGGAACGAGGAGGAGTGAGGAGCGGCGCGCTGCCGCCCCTCAACGCAAGGAAGGCAAGGCGGCGCAGGCGAGGCAGGGAGGGGAGGGAGGGACCTGGGAAGACCAGACACAAGGTGGCGACGGTGCATGCCACGAAGGCGTGGCAAGGAGGGGTGACCCAGGCGGTGGTGCCAGAGAAGAGTCTGGTGCGACAGGGAACGACACTCACAGGCGTGGGCTACCAGACCTGACGCAGACACCTGACCGACAGCAGCGACCTGAGGAGACGCAGTGGTCAGTGTGTAGAGACTCGACCCCGGCCGACGGGTAAACGTAGCCAGGTGACGGCCGGTCCTGGAGCACGTGCAGATCGCCACACGCTGTCCTCCAGGGGTAAAGGTGTCAACCCACTGATCCTGGATGACAGCGTTGCTCACCAGGTTCGTCGAGAACGAGGGGAGGTGGAAACCCGACAACGAGCCAGACGGAACCGCCGGACAAGGGAGGACAGTGGTGGACTGGGCAAGGACTGGGCCCCCAGAGGGGTCAGCCAAGGAGACTGGGACCGGTGCAGGAAGCGGTGTGAGCTCAGTACTGTCACGAAAGAAGCAACGGGAAGCACCTGAGTCAAGGGTGAAGGTGTGACAGGCCTCAGCCGGTGCGGTACCTGAGAGAGCAGTCTCTGTGGGTGCTGTACCTGAGAGAGCAGACTCACTAGTACCCAGGGCAGCGGGCTCTATACCTGGGTCAGGCGGCACACACAAGTAACAGTCTCCCTCGGCACTAACAGTCAATGCATACATGGCAGCAATAATAGCATCATAGTCAAGAGCAAAGACATCAACACCAGCCCTCATGAGCTCAGCCCAGCGGGGGCGCTCAACATCCGCACCCATCTCCTCACGCCAAGCGTCGTCAAGGCGGGAGAAGCAGCGGTACGGGGTGTGGAACCTCCCACACGTCTGTCCCTTGCGGTCACCTGTGCGAATGACATAAGAACAGCGGCCACTGCCCCCCGACGTCCCACGCTGAGCAAGCCACTCACGAAGCTGCTGGGTCGTCTGGGGACGCTGCTGCTGCTGGGAGCTCTGGCCCGAGCCAGTGCCTCCACTCCGACCTCCGCCGCCACCACTACCACCGCTCCGACCGCCACCGCCGCCACCGCCACTGCCGCCGCCGCCGCCACCGCCGCCGCCGCCACCACCGCCACCGCTCCCTCCGCCGCCCCCGCCTCCACCGCCGACCCCACTCCCACCAGCGCTCCCGCCACCGCTCCCTCCAGCACCGCCTCCCCCCCCACCTCCCCCACCTCCTCCCCCCCCAGCGCCACCACCACCACCCTTGCCCCCCTTGCCCTTGCCGGTGCGGCGCCTCCCACCAGGAGCAGAAGCAGCGCCAGCAGACTCAGCACCAAGGAAGTCAACAGCAGCAGCAGTAGCGTAGGAGGGAGCGAGGGGAGAGGGAGAACACCCCTCAAAGATGGGGGTGCGAGGAGCGCCACGAGCAGCACCGACAGCTACAATGCTCTTTTCGGCCGCGAGCAGCTGCTCCTCTAGGAGGGTGACTGTGAGCTCAGTGGGACAGCGAGCAAGGAAGTGGTCTCGAACTGAGCTGAGGGTGTCAGGGAGACGGGTGACTATGAAGTGGAGTGTCCAGTACAGTGGAGGGGGGTTCTTAGCGCAGAACTCGGTGGGAAGGGCGGCACGCAGGCGAGCATCACTAGTGCGAAGGTGGGTGATAAGATCGGCGACTGTAGCAAAGGTGGACAGATCGGGGAACAGGTACGGCAGCATGAGGCGGCTAAGCTCGGCTGTGGCAGGCGAGGAGTAGCGAGCAACGACAGCATCGTACAGGGCCTTAGCGGATTTGCAGTCGCCAAAATGCTCGAGCTCAGCTAGCGGCAGGTGACTGCGAATGGCTAGGCGAGCAGCTGCGTCACGAGTCTGCCAGTGGGAACGAACACTAAGCTCGGCTGTGGCAGCAGGAGCAGCGGCAGCACCAGACGCGTAGTCATAGAGGGAGATGTGGTCCGTGCTATTGCTCATAAGATACAACTGCAGGTCGTCGAGCCAGGAAGTGAACTGCACGGGACGGCCCTCAGCATCGAAGGAAAGAACGCGAATAGAGGCCATAGCTCAGGCGTGAGGGCACAGCAGAGCAGCGGCAGCAGCAGAGGGGACGCGCTAGAGCGAAGCTAGCAGCCACAGCAGGAGCAAGCGGCGGTGCACAGGCAGGGAGCAGCAGGCGAGGCGGGCGGCGCTGCAGGCGGGAAGTGCGGCGGGCGGGCTGCGAAGCGGGCAGCGGGACGGGCGGGCGACGCGGCGAGTGGGCAGCGCGGCGGGCGGCTGCGAAGCGGGCAGCGGGCGGGCGGGCGACGCTGCAAGCGGGCAGCGAGGCGGGCGGGCTGCGAAGCGGGCAGCGGGCGGGCGGGCGAAGCCGCGAGCGGGCAGCAAGCGGGCGGGCGACGCTGCGAAGCAGGTAGCGGGCGGGCGGGCGGCGCTGCGAGCGGGCAGCGAAGCGGGCGGGCCGCGAAGCGGGCAGCGGGCGGGCGGGCGGGCTGCAAAGCGGGCAGCGGGGCGAGCGGGCTGCGAAGCGGGCGGGCGACGCTGCGAGCGGGCAGCGAGCGAGCGGGCGACGCTGCGAAGCGGGCAGCGGGGCGAGCGGGCGACGCTGCGAGCAGGCAGCGCGGCGGGCGAGGGGCGAGCGGGCAGCGTGGCGGGCGGGCGACGCTGCGAGCGGGCGGCTCGGCGGGCGGGCGACGCTGCGAGGGGCGCGCGAGGGCGCTAGCGAGGGGCGCGCGAGGGCGCTAGCAAGGGGCGCGCGAGGGCGCTAACGAGGGGCGCGCGAGGGCGCTAACGAGGGTGCGCGCGAGGGGCGCGCGAGGGCGCTAGCGAGGGGCGCGCGAGGGCGCTAACGAGGGTGCGCGAGGGCGCTAACGAGGGGCGCGCGAGGGCGCTAACGAGGGGCGCGCGAGGGCGCTAACGAGGGCGCACGAGGGCGCTACGAGGCTAGGGCACGGGGTAGCGTGGTAACCGCATGCGAGCGGTGGTGGGCCCTAAAAAAACGGTCGGTAGGTCCTAGGGACCTCCTGCTCTGAATACCATGTTAGAATCACTAGGCAAGAATGGATGAACTAGCAGAAGTTTGGGTACAAATATGAAACCCTAGTTGGGGTTGTACCCCATATTGGCTACCCCACTACAGCCTACAAGCATAATACAGTTTAACAACAACCGCACGCACGGAGGAAACGGCACAGCTATTCCTCAAACACATAATCTCACAGCACGGGATCCCAACAACGCTCATATCCAACAAGGACCCCAAGTTTACTAGCAAGTTCTGGAAAGAGCTCATGTCGCTCATGGGGACACGCCTAGCGATGTCATCTGCATATCATCCCCAGACCGATGGGCAGACAGAGCGCTTGAACCAAATTGTGGAACAACTCTTGCGCGCAGCGTGCAAGGACGACATTAACAAGTGGGACTTGCACTTGCCGGTGTTGGAGTTCGCCTACAATAATGCAAAGCATGCCGCAACAGGAGAGACCCCATTCTTCCTCTGTTACGGTCGACATCCGCTAACTCCTCAACAGCCGACAGTACCTGCAACTGTCCAACCCGCGCACGACTTCGTTACCACAATGCAGCAGCTTTGGGATCGGACACACAAGCGTCTACAGGACATACAGTCTTCACAGAAACGCTTGGCCGATCGCCATCGACGTGATCATACCATTGCGGTTGGTGACCATGTGCTTCTCGACACATGCAACCTCAACCTCGGTCACCTTCCATCCAAGTTACGACCTCGCTTCTGCGGACCTTTCCTCGTAGAAGAGCAGGTCACTCCAGTCACATTCCGCTTGCGCCTACCAGCTAGTTGGAAGATTCATAACGCCTTCCACGTGCAGCTTCTTAAACCCTATCGGGATCCAAATAAGCTGTACACGGGACGCCAACCTCCGCCGCCGCCTCCAGTCCTCGTGAATGATGAACTTGAGTACGAGGTCGAATCCGTGCTTGCACATCGTCGTCGTCGGCATGGCGCCCTGGAGTTTCTCATACGCTGGAAGGGCTATGATCCTTCCGAGGACAGCTGGGTCTCTGAAGAAGACATGAGTAACGCCCGACGTTCTCTTCGCGACTATCTTGTCAAGCAGGGTGTTACGTCTACCACCCAGCTTTGAGGGGGGGAAGTGTAAGAGTACGTCGACGTTCGACATATTTCTCGTGTCCATATTTTTACTCTATCTTATTCTTCTTATTCTCCTCTTTCATTTGCACTTTATTTCACCTCAATCGGACTACTATTCTATTTTCTAGAGCTTTCCGATTATTTCACTTATTTGTATTTTCGGCACCGACAATTACATTATACGGCACCGACAGCACCGACAGTGGTGTGTTAGAAGAACTAGGCAAGAATGAATGCATTGAATGAAACAGTTGGGTACAAGTAGCAAACCCTAGTTGGGAATGTACCCCATATTGGCTACCCCACTACAGCCTACCAACATATAACACATTACAATTTAACACACCCCCATAGGCAAAGTGGGGGAGAACAAAGGGTCACAAGACCAGTCCAGCAAAGCAACGCAAGCCCAGGGTGGATCACAACGTCACCACACTCCGAGCACAAGCAAAGGCCACAAGGCCAGTTCACATGCAGTGCTAGATATAGTACAACACAAGCAACACAGTGATCAAAACCTAGCAAGCAAGCAACAAGATATATATATAAAGTACAGTACAAAGAATGTCAAGCAGTGAGCAAGTGAGGAAACGTGGACACAAGGCCTAAAGAAGTACAGTGCCGCTGATGATCACTAGGCGGGAGCGCCTTGGTGAAGATATCAGCAGTGTTGGCCTTCGAGTCCACGTACACAAGCCGAAGCTGACCGCGCTGCTGAAGCTCTCGAGCAAGAAAGTAGCGAAGAGCAATGTGCTTTGTCCTGTGCTCCACTCTGTGCTCCTGACACAAGGCAAGAGCCGCCTTGTTGTCACCGTACAGAACTGGAGGAGAACTAGGCCGCTCTCCCAAGTCAGTCAGCAGGTAGGTGAGCCAGCGTAACTCCTGTGCAGCCATGGCTGTGGCGTAGATCTCAGCCTCACAACTAGAGCCGAGAACAGAGGAAGAGCGGGTGGACCGCCACGAGACAGAACCAGAGCCAAGGCTGAAGGTGTAACCCTGTGACGACCGCTGCGTAGCCAGGTCGTCCACCCAAGAAGCGTCCGAGTGACCAGTGAGGACAACTCTGTCGTGTCCTCCAAGCACCAGCCCCATGCCTGATGTACTGCACAAGTAACGCAGCACCCTCTTAGCAGCCTCCCAGTGCTCTCGCCTGTGTCTCCCAGGTGCAACGTAACGAGCAAGGATGCTAAGAGGGTACGCGAGGTCAGGTCGCGTGCAAGTCATCAGGTACATGAGGCAGCCTACAAGCTCTGGGTACGGGCCACTCGGCTCTACGGACTCGTCCGAAGGTGGAGCTGAGAGCGAGTGGCTGGTAGCCAGAGGTGTGGCCTGTGGTGAGGAGAAATGGAAGCCGAAGCGCTGAAGGACCTGCTGCACCATGTGTGACTGAGTCAGGGTGATGGTGCGGCGAGCTCTGTCCCGGGTGATCTGCAAGCCAAGGTAGCTACGCAGTTCACCCAGGTCAGTGCAGGTGTGTCTCTTCTGCAGCTCCGACTTCACACGAGCGAGTGCCTCAGTGTCAGCAGTAGCAAAGACCAAGTCGTCGACGTACACGAGAATGTAGAACGGCGGCAGCGACGTGTCTGTGCGCAGAAACAGCGACGGGTCAGCAGTAGACGGCGCGAACCCAAGAGCCGCAAGTGTAGTCCTCAGTGTGTCGTGCCACTCACGTGGCGCCTGGCGGAGACCGTAGACTGGCCGGCGGAGGCTCCACTGGGTACCAGGAGGAAACGACCCAGTAAAGCCAGGTGGGCGGCGCAGCCAGATCTCCTCGTGCAGGCTGCCCTGCAGGAACGCTGTGCTGAAGTCAAGAGAGTGAAGCTCGTAGTCACGCTGAGCAGCAACGTGCAGCAGAACCCGAAGAGTGGTCATCTTCGGGGTGGGGGAGAAGGTCTGGAAGAAGTCGACCCCCTGACGCTGACTGAAGCCTCTAGCAACGTAACGAGCCTTGAAGACAAGCGGAGAACCTGGCGGCCGCTTCACCCTGAAAATCCACATGCCATCGACGATGTTCGCCCCAGGAGGGGGAACCTCGTCGACGTAGGTGCCTGTGGACTTCCAGGATGCCATCTCTGCGTCCATGGCTGTCTGCCACTGAGAGGAGTAGGGACCCGAGATCGCCTCTGCGTAAGTGCGCGGAGTGGGGATGTCTAGTGCATCCGGGTCTCCCTCAGGGGCAAGCAACCAGGCCACGAGATGAGGTACAGCAGCCGCAAGAGAGTCAAAGTCCTCCTGCCTGTCCTCAAGGACGTCCGTGCCAAGAGCACACTCACCCCCGACGGACGGAGGACAGACAGACGCAGACGCAGGCTCAGCAACAAGGCTAGCAGCGTAGTCTAGACGACAGGCAGCAGCAAAGTCAACCAACTCAGCGACTAGAGCAGACGCAGCCGAGGACTCAAAGGTAGGGTCAGTGAAAACAGTAGCTAGGAGACGCGTGACAGTAGGGTGCTCAGCACGATACCGGTCAGACTCAGGGTCCGGAACGTCAGGCAAAGAGGACGCAGGAGGAGACGGTAGAGGGACACGCTGAGGAGCAGTAGAGGGACGCAGAGTCATGTAGTGAGTGCCTGGGACAGGAGGAGGACGCTCACGACGGACACGACGACCAGTGCGAGCAGTGCGAACAGGCGACGCAGGACGAGACTCAGGCTCACGACGCTCTGTAAGACCTCCTATGGGACCAGTGTAAGGAGAGGGAGCAGGGAGAGGTGAGGTAGGCGGTAACTGTGACTGTGGCTGGACAGGCGGGAGACACCCTACGGAGGGAGGAGGACAAGGAGGAGGAGCCTGCCCAAGAACCTGCTGAAGGAGCGGTACGAAGTACGGCCGCGGCCGCGCAGCGGCTCCAGAAGCAGAAGAGACTCCAGCGGCCGGGTCCTCAGTACCAGCAGGAGCTCCAACGTCCGGGTCCCCAGCACCAGCAGCAGCGCCACCGCTCGGGTCCTCAGCTCCAGCAGCAGGCCCACCAGGTGGGTCCGCAGCACCAGCAGCAGCACCACCCCCAGGGTCCGCAGCACCGCTAGGAAGAGCACCCCCAGAGTCGGCAGCTCCAACTCCACTAGTACCGCCAGCTCCAGAGTCCCCAGCTCCAGCAGCTCCAGTCGTAGTGCTCCCAGAACGACCAGTCCCGGCAGCTCCAGTACCCCCAGTACGAGCACCCCCAGGACGAGCAGCTCCAGCACCCCCAACTCCAGCCGAGCCACTAGGACGGCGAAAGCGCCGGACGTACCAGTCACGAAGCTGCTGCGGCGTGAGAGACTGCTCAGCACCCCGAACCGGAGCACCCCCAGACACAGCAACCCGAGGCTCCGTAGGCTCAGTAGCAGCACCCCCAGGCTCAGTACCCGCAGGCGCAGCACCCCCAGACTCAGCACCCCCAGACTCCGCACACGCAGGCTCAGCACCCCCAGTCGCAGCACCCCCAGGCTCAGCACCCCCAGGCGCCGAACTCTCAGGCACAGTACCCTCAGCTCCAGCACCCGCAGTCCCAGCACTCCCAGGCCCAGCACCCGCAGGCTCAGCACCCCCAGGCTCAGCACTCCCAGCAGCACCACCTGCAGCAGCACCTGAGTCACCTGTGACCTCGACAGGCTCAGCGACGGGAGGAGGGTCGACCTGAGAAACACCTGAAGGAGCAGGACCCTGAGGGGGAAGGGGGTCTACCGGAGGGGGACCAGGAGCAAGGAAAAGCGGCGGGGGAGGGAGGGGGGCAGTGCGGTAGGGGAAGAGACGGTAAAAAGGGACCGACTCGTCAAAGGTGACGTCCTGAGAGGCGAAGACCCGGCGCGAGGTGGGGTGGTAAAACTGCCAGCCCGGCGCGTCAGGGACAAAGCCCAGGAAGACACAGGGAAGTGTGCGGGAGGAGAGCTTGTCCGCGGACGTATCGCGGACAAGGGCACGAGCACCCCACACCCGGAAGCGCGACGCATCGCCAACCTCCCCCGTCCAACGCAGTGTGGGCGAGGTCTCCGGCAAGGAGACACGGGGCCAGAGGTTGAGCTGATGCGCGGCGTACCGGACAGCAAACGGCCACAGAAAATGGGGAGCCGCCGCGTGAACCAAGGAGGTACGAGCGACCTCCATGACCAGGCCAATGCGGCGCTCAGCAACCCCATTCTGCTGTGGGGAGTCCGGAAGCGTGAAGGTCTGCTCGATGCCCTCCGCCTGACAGAAGGTCCTCAAGAGATCGGAGGAAAACTCACCACCTCTGTCAGAGTGCAGACGCAGGAAAGGAAGATCCGTCCGGAAACGGCGGCGGAGCTGGAGACGAACTGTGCGGATCCAAGGGATCAGAACAGCAGGGACCTCACCCTTGGTGCGCAAGGGGAAGACCGTGGTGTAATGCGAGTAGTCGTCAACAACCAGCAAAAAGTACCGCTCACCGCCCTGGCCACGAACGCGGGCTGGGCCCCACACGTCCAGGTGGAGGGTCTGCAGAGGAGCCTCTGTCGGGGGGAACGAGGAGGAGTGAGGAGCGGCGCGCTGCCGCCCCTCGACGCAAGGAAGGCAAGGCGGCGCAGGCGAGGCAGGGAGGGGAGGGAGGGACCTGGGAAGACCAGACACAAGGTGGCGACGGTGCATGCCATGGAGGCGTGGCAAGGAGGGGTGACCCAGGCGGTGGTGCCAGAGAAGAGTCTGGTGCGACAGGGAACGACACTCACAGGCGTGGGCCACCAGACCTGACGCGGACACCTGACCGACAGCAGCGACCTGAGGAGACGCAGTGGTCAGTGTGTAGAGACTCGACCCTGGTCGACGGGTGAACGTAGCCAGGTGACGGCCGGTCCTGGAGCACGTGCAGATCGCCACACGCTGTCCTCCAGGGGTAAAGGTGTCAACCCACTGATCCTGGATGACAGCGTTGCTCACCAGGTTCGTCGAGAACGAGGGGAGGTGGAAACCCGACAACGAGCCAGACGGAACCGCCGGACAAGGGAGGACAGTGGTGGACTGGGCAAGGACTGGGCCCCCAGAGGGGTCAGCCAAGGAGACTGGGACCGGTGCAGGAAGCGGTGTGAGCTCAGTACTGTCACGAAAGAAACAGCGGGAAGCACCTGAGTCAAGGGTGAAGGTGTGACAGGCCTCAGCCGGTGCGGTACCTGAGAGAGCAGTCTCTGTGGGTGCTGTACCTGAGAGAGCAGACTCGCAAACAGCGGGGACAGCACTGGAGGGAGCAAGTACAGGGGGCACCATACCAGAGAGAGCAGACTCACTAGTGGCCAGGGCAGCGGGCTCTATACCTGGGTCAGGCGGCACACACAAGTAACAGTCTCCCTCGGCACTAACAGTCAATGCATATATGGCAGCAATAATAGCATCATAGTCAAGAGCAAAGATATCAACACCAGCCCTCATCAGCTCAGCCCAGCGGGGGCGCTCAACATCCTCGCCCATCTCCTCACGCCAAGCGTCGTCAAGGCGGGAGAAGCAGCGGTACTGGGTGTGGAACCTCCCACACGTCTGCCCCTTGCGGTCACCTGTGCGAATGACATAGGAACAGCGGCCACTGCCCCCCGACGTCCCACGCTGAGCAAGCCACTCACGAAGCTGCTGGGTCGTCTGGGGACGCTGCTGCTGCTGGGAGCTCTGGCCCGAGCCAGTGCCTCCACTCCGACCTCCGCCGCCACCACTACCACCGCTCCGACCGCCACCGCCGCCACCGCCACTGCCGCCGCCGCCGCCGCCGCCACCGCCGCCGCCGCCACCACCGCCACCGCTCCCTCCGCCGCCCCCGCCTCCACCGCCGACCCCACTCCCACCAGCGCTCCCGCCACCGCTCCCTCCAGCACCGCCTCCCCCCCCACCTCCCCCACCTCCTCCCCCCCCAGCGCCACCCCCGCCACCCTTGCCCCCCTTGCCCTTGCCGGTGCGGCGCCTCCCACCAGGAGCAGAAGCAGCGCCAGCAGACTCAGCACCAAGGAAGTCAACAGCAGCAGCAGTAGCGTAGGAGGGAGCGAGGGGAGAGGGAGAACACCCCTCAAAGATGGGGGTGCGAGGAGCGCCACGAGCAGCACCGACAGCTACAATGCTCTTTTCGGCCGCTAGCAGGTGCTCCTCTAGGAGGGCGACTGTGAGCTCAGTGGGACAGCGAGCAAGGAAGTGGTCTCGAACTGAGCTGAGGGTGTCAGGGAGACGGGTGACTATGAAGTGGAGTGTCCAGTACAGTGGAGGGGGATTCTTAGCGCAGAACTCAGTGGGAAGGGCGGCACGCAGGCGGGCATCACTAGTGCGAAGGTGGGTGATAAGATCGGCGACTGTAGCAAAGGTGGACAGCTCAGGGAACAGGTACGGCAGCATGAGGCGGCTAAGCTCGGCTGTGGCAGGCGAGGAGTAGCGAGCAACGACAGCATCGTACAGGGCCTTAGCGGATTTGCAGTCGCCAAAATGCTCGAGCTCAGCTAGCGGCAGGTGACTGCGAATGGCTAGGCGAGCAGCTGCGTCACGAGTCTGCCAGTGGGAACGAACACTAAGCTCGGCTGTGGCAGGAGGGGCAGGTGCAGCACCAGACGCGTAATCATAGAGCGACACATGCTCCTTGCTATCGCTCAGAAGGAACAGCTGCAGGTCATCCAGCCAAGTGGCGAACTTCACAGGGCGGCCCTCAGTATCGAACGACAGCACGCGGATGGAAGCCATAGCGACAGTGCGACTGAGCAAAGGAAGCTGCCGCAGCGCTGCAGGTAGGTAGCTCGGCGGGAAGCGCGGCGGGCGGGCGACGCGGCGAGCGGGCAGTGCGGGGGGCGGGCTGCGAAGCGGGCAGCGCGGTGCTGCAGGCGGGAAGTGCGGCGGGCGGGCTGCGAAGCGGGCAGCGGGGCGGGCGGGCGACGCGGCGAGCGGGCAGCGCGGCGGGCGGGCTGCGAAGCGGGCAGCGGGCGGGCGGGCGACGCTGCAAGCGGGCAGCGGGCGGGCGGGCGACGCTGCAAGCGGGCAGCGAGGCGGGCGGGCGACGCTGCGAGCGGGCAGCGAGCGAGCGGGCGACGCTGCAGGCGGGCAGCGGGCGGGCGGGCGACGCTGCGAGCAGGCAGCGCGGCGGGCGGGCTGCGAAGCGGGCAGCGGGCGGGCGGGCGACGCTGCGAGCGGGCAGCGAGCGAGCGGGCGGGCTGCGAGGCGGGCAGCGGGCGAGCGGGCGACACTGCGAGCGGGCAGCGAGGCGGGCGGGCGACGCCGCGAACGGGTAGCGCGGCGGGCGGGCGACGCTGCGAAGCGGGCAGCGGGCGGGCGGGCGTCGCCGCAAGTGGGCAGCAGGCGGGCGGGCGACGCTGCAAGCGGGCAGCGGGCGGGCGGGCGACGCTGCGAGCAGGCGGCTCGGCGGGCGGGCTGCAAAACGGGCAGCGCGGCAGGCGGGCGACGCTGCGAGAGGGCGGCTCGGCGGGCGGGCGACGCTGCGAGGGGCGCGCGAGGGCGCCAGCGAGAGGCGCACGAGGGCGCTAGCGAGGGCGCGCGAGGGCGCTAACGAGAGGCGCGCGAGGGCGCTAACGAGGGCGCGCGAGGGCGCTAACGAGGACGCACGAGGGCGCTAACGAGGCTAGGGCACGGGGTAGCGTAGTAACCGCATGCGAGCGGTGGTGGGCCCTTAAAAAAAAAACGGTCGGTAGGTCCTAGGGACCTCCTGCTCTGAATACCATGTTAGAAGAACTAGGCAAGAATGAATGCATTGAATGAAACAGTTGGGTACAAGTAGCAAACCCTAGTTGGGAATGTACCCCATATTGGCTACCCCACTACAGCCTACCAACATATAACACATTACAATTTAACATGGTGTACAAGGCGTAATCTCACCATAATCCAATGTGCCAATGGGCTTGCGTGCTTATGCGCACTAGTGATTATCTATCCTAGAAGAGCGCGTTCCCGAAGGTTCGGATTATCGCTTGTTTCTATGTATTTCTGAGTATAAATACGCCTTGTACTCACCTATAGTGCAACATTCTCGAGTGGAAATTTGATCCTGTGACACGCGAAGCCGGGCGGAGGTGGTAGCGGAGGTGGGCGGTCGACGAAGGACGTCGACGAGACGAATTCCAGAATGATTCAACAAGCAATGACAGAATGACTACATCAGGCACCTAGCAACTCTGCAGCTAGCCTGGTCGACCGCCTGCACCGCATGGTCGACCGCCTGCCAGCGTTGCGTAGAGGAGTCGCGCCAGCACTGCAGAAGAGCGACCTGCCAACACTGCAGGTCGACGGCGTGCCAATGCTGCAGCAATGCGGCTGGCCAGCATTGCCCCGTAGAAGACAGTAGTACGCACACTCGCAGATGCGCGCAGACGATTGGCCCGACTTGCCTTGTTGGGCATCCGTCGGCTGTTGTCTACGCCTGACGAGCCACATCAACTTCGGGATACCAGCCATCGCTCGAAGTTGCCTTCGCCATCGCGACCTCGATGACGTTCGCGTGCCTCCGCAGAACTCGTCGAGCAGGTTACCCGGTCGACCTGGACACCACCAGGTCCCCCGGTCGACCACCAGGTGCCCCAGGTCGACCAGGAGATCCCCCGGTCGACCACTAGGTGCCTCCGGTCGACCACGAGGTCCCTCGGTCGACCACAGCTCCTGTCGAGCTGCCCCTGGTCGACGGACCCCTTCCGTCGACCAGATCTCTCAGCTGATGTCGCAGAGATCCCCTCGTCAACCGCTGCTTACTTGTCAGGTCGACGGACTGCTCCGTCGACCTCCCGGTCGAACTGCAGATCAACGGACCGCTCCGACGACCGCCCGGTCGAGCTGCAGGTCGACAGACTGCTCCGTCGACCTCCCGGTCGAACTGCCCCTCCTGGTCGACGGCCCACCCGTCGCCCAGACCAGTCAGTTGCAGCTATCCAGCTCCCTGGTCGACGGCAACACCACAGCGAACCCCTGCAGCTCGACGAGGCCTGTCGAGCAGCTCCTTCACTGCGAACGGTCGGCTGCTTCTTCCGTACATCCGACCAAGTTGTCGGCGTTGCCCAAGCGAGGGCGGGGCCAACACTCACTCCCGTTAACAGACCATGTCCTCGTCCGCGTAGACAACCAAGGAGTCATGTTCATCCTCCGCAAAGGGGGGTCCCACCAACCCCGTCTAACAAGGACATGCCAAGCAATCATACAGTTCTGTCTCAAAAATCGCACCCGGCTGGCGATTGAATGGATCCCGAGGGAGCTGAACGCCCATGCTGACGAAATTTCCAAGATCCAGGATCACGACGATTATTCCTTGCATGCACCCTAGTTTCGCCTCCTGGAACGCCGATGGGGACCCCATACAATTGGCCTATTCGCAAACATCCACAATAAGAACTGGAACGGTTTTGCTCCAAGATACGACATCCAGGCGCCATCGCTATCGACGCATTCTCGATCTCTTGGAACGGGCGAACGTTGCTTCGCTTTTCCACCCCTCAACCTAATCCCGGCTACGCTTAGTCACGCTAAGCGTACGTAGACCGAGATGATGCTGAGTGTGCCCCAGTGGGCACAGACATGGGCCCCAGAGGTGGTGGCTTACCTACCACTCGCCCACGAAAGTCAATGCCTCAGACCAGGCTCACATGCATCAGCATTCTCTGGACTCGGACTGCCACATAGCCCAAACAACAGTTGATGCGAGTCATCCATAATGTCCGTGCACCATCTACAATCGAAAACTACCAGCCATATTGGCAGAAATTTAGGAACTAATGTGTTCAAGTCAAGCACACGTTCCTACCAGCAACAGACTTGACGCTAGCACTCTACCTCATCCACGCGCTGAACAACAAGGCAACCATCTCAACAATCAGCCTCACATGTTCCGCGGTGGCCTTCGCCCATCGGGTGACAAGCAAAACCTCCCCCACTAGCGGCCCACTCACCCTGCAAGTGAGAGAGTTTGCCAAACGACATGGCCTTCGGCCCACAAGGACCAAGGAGCCAGTGTCACTTCACCAGGTGCACGACACGGCACGACCCTTCCTTGAATCAGCAGTCCCAGCGGAATATCAAAAGGGTTTGTTCCCTCTCCTCATGTTCGCAGCTTTCTTGCGCTTCTCCGACCTCATCTCCCTCCAATGGAATGACATACAGTTCGAGGAAGAGGCGATGTGGCTCCTCATCCCGTACTCCAAGACAGACCAAGTAGGAAGGGGCACCTGGATCCCGGTGGCGGCGACTACAGGGCCCAATTGTGCAGTCAGATGCACAAGGAATTTCATTCAAATCGCAGGCCTCGCAATGATGCCTCACGGGCCACTGATACGGGTGCTTACCAAAGGGGCACAAGCGACGCTGCACGACAAGTCACCCTCTTACCCAACCATCCGAAATTGGTGCCTCGAGGCTTGCAGCAAGGGGGGACTGGATGCCACGCACATCGGGACCCACTCCTTTAGGAAGGGTGCAGCGACAGCAGCAGCCAGCCTAGGAGTTCCTGATCGGCTCTTCAAACGCATGGGCCGATGGCGAAGCGATGGCGCAAAGGAAATCTACGTCACCATTGCCCAAGACCAACTCATCAACCTCTCCACCCAGCTGCAGGCCACATCCGCAGCCCCATCACCCACCAGGCACCAGCAGTCAATTGAGAGATACCGCCGGCCAAGAATGCACATGCCTCAGAGGCCCCATTTGGAATGAAGCACGTTGCCTTTGCAAGAGGACTAAGTGAGCTTTCACAATGCGACAACTGGAAGCAGTTAAATCGAAGGTCAAAGGTCATCGACCTTTGACTCGGCGAAACAGCACGTCAGCAAGGACAAATAACTGACTCGTTATTGAGCAGTGATCCGAGTCGTCGCTGAATCGGACCGCGTTAGCGGTTACAGTTACAGTTGGATACAAAGCGGTTAAGTATCTAATATTCCTGTAAACATATATAAACTCTGTATCATTGCATTATTATCAACTCATCTTGCTCTCACATACTAGCACAAGGCGGTTTGACCAGTCATTATTAAACACTTCCGCCAATACATCACTACCCTGAGCCTCAGTCATTGAAAAGATCCTAAGGGCTTGTTCAGTCCAACATGGTATGAGAGCAGTCAAGACTAGGCTCAACTACCTTTAGTTTCTTTTACTCGTACAACAAAAGAAACACAGAAGGAAGGGGGATCATCCACCGGATCTCCCGGCACTACTCCTACTCCACCTCCGGTCTCTGGACTACAGACAGAAGAAGGCATTGCCCAAGGACCAGCTACAGGACCTACTAAAGCGCCCGTAAATCCGTAAACTGGCTTCGACCCAAGCATGATGGGAAAATTCTTCTCCTTCATGTCGTTCTACGAGCAACAACAAAAGGCTCCTGCACAGTCAAATAACAGCAGCAACAACAA